AAATAACTTAAGTGTAATTGTGGTCAGAAAAAGGATTGTTTTATCTTTCTTCAAAACTAATTAGGGATTTTCCTCAACACATAGGTTGCCTGTTGCCATATAATTATGACAAAGTCGAGTAGGCTAACATGGACAGGCTATTTTTCCGTCCATAGCAGGTAGCTGACAGCGCTTAAGATTTTAGCCCATCGGAGTTGTTTGTACATTGTATAGCATGCGCGTTGGGATCTGAAATTGTATTGCTTGGTCGATGGCCATTCAAAATTTCTTTCTTTTACCTACTTAGGTTGGGATGAGAAAAGACCGATGCTGCTGTTCAGACTCTCTTTCAAACATAGATCCAGATGTTGTCCTTGACGATAATTTTGCATCTTTCCCAATCTTCACAAATGATTAAATTAAGTCAGACTCAATCATCCAAAACTTCGTTGATCCTTTCGATATAAAATCTAACTGCCCATGTCACGGCCTAATTTTCGAGGGCCACCTCAGGGAAGTAGGTTTAGAGGTATTTTATTGGACTCTCCCTAAGTTCATACCTCACGTGACATTGGTTGTTTGAATATATTTGTTCGATAGAAATCACTACTAGCCACGATTAAGGGTCGACTAGAAACCCTAATCGAGATATGTGACTGTTATCTCGAAAACATACGCAACCAGAGATTCTTAGGGATTGGGGACTTAATTACACTAGTTTTTCAACTAATGCCTTTTCAGTACCTAAACTCGACTATTTGCTAATCAAAATGTAACGGCAGTCTTTTACTAATCGAGAATTTTGAATTTTCATCCTAACCATTCTAAAAGAAGAAAAACAACAATCAATGAATTTAAAGCACGCAATCAAATGAAATCCAAATGAAAGTGACAAACAGCGACCGAGCATCGTCTCTAAAAAAACAACAAAAATCTCCAAGGTAAAGCCCTAAAGGTTTATTCAATTTTGGGTTCAATTTTTTGTTCAAGCCAAAAGTATTTATTAAAAGCCCCGAACTAAGAGAATTCTACATCTTTTTAGCTTTCTTCACATTTTTTATTTTTTTGAATTTTCTGATTTTTTTTTAATTTTTAATTCTTGTTTTTTTTAAAAAAATTGGATTTCGGACCGGGTCAAGAAACCTCGTTTGATTAGCCGATCTGATCCGAACCCTAACAGTCCAGTCAAGCTCGCAATTCGGACCGGTTCTTGGACCCAGAACGAATTCGAGTCTCTTTTGATGGGCTATCAACAATTCAAGCCCAAGTTTTCCAACTTTTTTCATTCATTTAGCCCAACTCCAAGTTTAGCCCAGTCACACTAAAATTGAGCCCATTTATTTGTCCTAGTCTCCAGCCCATCAGCTCCTCTACTCCGATCCAGAACAAAACCCGACCCGGTTTTCATTATATTTGAATTTTTTATTTCCTCTTCTAATTTTTTATTTCTTATTTATTTATATTTTTTTATTGTTTCTTTCTTTTCTATTTTTTTCCAATGCCCTTTTTGGTCTTCTTCTTCCTTACGTGATTTCCTTCCCCGAGAGCTCACCATCAGGATTCCAACTTTGAGCTTCACCGGAGCAACCATTCTTCCGGTCATCAACGTTTACCGGCTATTTACTCAAGCAACCTACTACTAACTCGCCTTCGCCCGCCACCAATCCCAGCCATTATTAGATCGCTGGCTGCTTGTTCCAATCACTGTTCCGACTATCCAAAACCTTTACCAACGGCCATTTTCATTCATCAACTAATAATCCACAAGCAGTAGAAATAAATGTACACATACGTGGCAGAAAAAGGGAAAAGAGGAAGCTAACACGGACGAACTTTAACCGTAGGCACCTTCGGCATGTAAAATGGATCTCCGGCAGAGGTTTCGTTCATGGCCGATTCATGATGTGCAAGTGTCATAAAAAAAAATAATTCGGCATTAGCTTCAGTTCAACAATCAACGATGCCAATATGAAACAGATTTACACCTAAAAGCTTTCACACAATTGTTCTCAAATCAGTTTTAATATTCTCTCAAGCAAATCGTCAAACAAGTAGCATGCGACTCAAGAAATGAGATTCCGATTTGATTACGATACGATTCTCGATCAAGAAATGATGTGTAAGTGCCTAAATCATGTTATTCTACAACAAATATGCCTTATTCTATCAGATTTTCGCACAAACTTGGCAATTTGAGATAGAATTCCTACCTGGTTTGGAAGCAGCGTGAAGTCTTCACGATCGTCTTCGAACAGGAACGCGACAGGCCTGGGAGTCCTCTGGTGCAGCAAAACAGTGACGAACAACACCGACTCGCACTTCCGAAGTAACGAATCACGGTATCTCGTGTATCCAAAATGGTGATTCACGGGGATTGTTTTCCGGCGATGGTGAACAGACGATGGAAGAAGGGGAAAAGATTTGCCGAAATTCCTCTGCGCGAGTAGAGGAACCGAACGCTCTCTTCTTCTAAAACCGTTCTCCCCCAAAACTTCTTCTGTTCCCCTCTTCTCTTCTTTAGTTGAGCGAATATATCTTTTCCACCCTCTCCATTGTGCATTCTATTTTGCTGATAACAACCTCTACAGCTCAGCAAGCTTCTAGATGATTTCTTGAGTTGATTTGCTCCGATCACACGCTCGTGAGTCTCACGGGCATTCTCCGTTTGTCACCGTTCACGACTGCTTCGCTCACTAACGTGAGCGTGAAATTGAGATAGAGAGGAAAGAAAACTGGGCAGGGCTGACAATTATCAAAAATGGGCTGAAGAAGGAAAGAAAAGATTGGGTTGGAAAGAAAAAGGAATGAGCCAAATGAATCAGGCCCAAATGGACCGAATCAAATCGACGATTTTTTTTTGTTTGAAAATTTCTATTTTTATAATTTTGCAAAAGAAATGGATGCTTGGATAGTTGAATTGACAAAAATTCAGGTGTCAACAGCCCACTTGTCTCCCCTCGTGTCAATGCATTCTCAAAATAGGATTCCTTGTAAAAGTGCAAAGTGTTAAGGCGGACGGAGAATTTCACGTTTGGGGTGGCCACCACCAGCCCCCCTACATCATCCAGACTGATAACATGGTTTAAAAGTTTTCTATTGCTGGAAACTATGTCGTCATGCTCTACAAGGGAAGATGAGAACAGAAAATCATACACCGAAGTGGCACCGCTTGCTCTTGAACCACATCTTTGCTAGGATTAATAGACGTAGCTTGAGCCATGAGGAGGGAACCCTAACAGCAAAGCTGTTGTCTGATCTCCGGGTAACGGGCATCCATTGATCAGTACATTGAAACCGAGCTGGTTTATAATTCATATGACTGGTTTCCTTTTCCTCCCATAAGAAAAAATCAAGCCTGCATCCGCATAAATTGCCACTCAGTGCCTAACAAATAGACATGGCAATCTTCAGAAGTGAAAAACAAAATCAATAATGCAATAGAAAGTCAATCAAAATAGTCTGAGTTTCATGGACTTCCCGAAAGAAGTTGATCATAACAAGATTGCCAAGACCTGCACCAGCTTTGCCATTATTCTTTTACTCCTTTCAGTACTAGTTGATAGGAGAATGATACCTACGATTCTTGCATTTGTGTGGCTATATAAGTTCATGATCAGACGTGATATGCTATTGATCCAAATGGAATCCACAATCAATCACTTGCTAAGATGACAACTTCCCAACAGCGCCAAAAAGAAATCCAAATCTTGATATCTTGATTTTATCCCAGCACGCAGTTCCCATCACGCGCATCATCCGAATGAGTATACTGGATGATTAATGTCTATTAAGAATAGGTCATAGAGTCGATCGAATAAACATAGCGTGAATCAAAACAATTGAGCAGCTTGTTTCCATGCTCTTGATCAATTGATAACAAATAAACAGTCTTATTTGGATTGGTTTAAATCTTTTTCTTTTTATTATTTTTTAATTTGAATCTTGATGTTTACCCATTTCAACTTTCTTAATATTCAAAACACTTGTAACTTTCATTCACAACATACAAATATTCACGTATATGGTCAAGAAATCTAAATAAAAACACTTTGTACCTTCGCGGCATCTTGAACAGCCTGTTTTGGCTTAAACAATACGTAGTTTTGGCATTTTCTTAATGCCATAAATGGGTTTCCTTCAACAATGCTTTTGCTACATGAGGCCCTATTATTAGATTTAAGAAAATATATTAAGCCATCTATATTTGGAGTGGAAATTAAAGAATACTAGACAGTTGGGCTTGGTTGGAGCGAGTTCATGGAAGTTGGTCTTGGATAGACGAGTCGTTTGAGACAAAAGGGTATGATTTGAGCTCAAGAGTTGTCAAATGAACGAGCTTATCACCATGTTAGGATTGCCGCGTTTGAAAAAAAAGTTGGTTATTGTTTATTTTAGTTGCGCTTCTCAACCTTAGTATTTAAAAGGAGATTGCTTGTGGGCTTTTATTTATCCACCCTCCCCAATTTCTCTTTTCAAATGCTTCGTTGATCATGTCATCTTCATCACCATCACCACCAATGACCCTGTTACTCGCTTTCTACATCATCTTTTCACTTGTTTTGATCTTGTCGCCATCATCCACCGAGGCAGTCGATGGTTGGCTGCCCTTGATCTCTCTTTTTTCTGAGGGTTAATATCATGAAAAAACCCTAAATTGGTACACATATGACAAATTTACTCGGAACTAATTTTTTTACTATTAAAAACTCCAAATTGGCATGCATGTGACAAATTTATCACAAATTAATTTTTTGACAACCAAAAACCCCAAACTGATATACGTGTAACAAATTTATCATCCTTTAAATTGGATTAATACGACGAAAAATCACAAATTGATAAATTTATGACAAACAGAGAGGTAAAACCCCAAACTAGTACACTTATCAACTGCCACATGTCATCTAACTCAGCAATTTGACATTAAAATTTAAAAGAAACTAACGGAGAGGAAATTTGTCACAAGTGTACCAGTTTGGGGTTTTTAGTGGTCAAAAAATTAGTTTTTGATAAACTTGTCATTGGTGAACCAATTTGGGGTTTTTCGTAGTATTAACCCTTTTTTTAAAGGATAAAGAGACATGAAATTGATTTACAAAATAGATAAACAATATTATGTGACAAACACTTATTGAATGCTTAAGTGTGTTTCGCTCGTCAACTAAGCTTGGCAAGCAAGGTCTTCTTAAATCCTTCTCATTCACTCCACCTGAAATACAACAGCCTTCTCCGGTTGAAGCTTCATCCTCTCTAAATAGGACTTTCCATTGAGCTTTTGGGAAAAGAAGTCTTGGACATATTTCTCCATCTTTATCCTTCTAAACAACGCTGGACTTTCTGTAGTCGTCAGAGATTGGATTGGGCCAATTTCTGAGTCCAGCTTAGGGTTGAAGAACATGGCAATTGAGATCCTTTCTCTTGTGGAATTGACCGTGGCTCTGTGCTCGATGCTATTGTAAAGACCATTGCTAAGAATCTACAATTATAAGCAAAGGAAAATCATATCAGATACGAGTGCAAACGGGGCTGGGCTTCAAGGAAATTTTCGGCCCCGCCCGGGAAAAAGAAAAAGTTGGGCCCAGTAACCTGGCCCGATTGAATCTTAGCCTGAAAAAACTGGTCTGAGCTGACCAGGCCGATTTGGTCTTTCATGCTTTCGGATTAATTTGAATACTCCTAGTAAATTCACCAAATACTCGTATAATATGTTCATGGTTGTTGAAATTTATATGAAATGCCTTTTTATGACAAGATGCCCTAGTATTGACAATGGATCTGGGGCGAATGGTTTACTGAACAAATTCAAGGCTAATGTTTGATAGGAAGGAATAGAAACAAAATTGGGGTCTCGAGAGTTTTGAAAGTTGTCCTACACCAACACCATGTAGAAGTTGTGAGACCTTACAACCTGTTTAAGTTGATTTTTACCCTTTTTTTTTGCGTCTAATCTAAATCTTGTGCTTCACACAATTTGACCTTTTTGAAATAAAAAATACTTGAAATTTCCACAATATACAAATATTGACATGTAAATTCACACGTAATTTTTGAAATTCTTGAAATTTATATGATACTTTAAATTTTAGCAGAAATCAAGAAAATTACTTTTTACTAAATCTTGAACAAACGAACTCCAAAACCTTAATTGGTAGATGGATACATGATTCAATATTTAAATCATCTAATGATCAATGACATTGTCATCGAAATCTAAATTATTTGAACCTAGCAGAAGGTAAGGATAATAGTCATCATCACATACCTCCAAACGAAACTCATTTAATAATGATGCACTATGTTGTTCGAGTTAATTAACATGCTTTTAGCTAAAGGGGCAAAAAATATCGTTTAGACTCAATATGTGGTGATGTGACATGAAAACTTATGTTATGTCAAGCGACCTAAAGTGGTCTAATAAGTTCTATAAGCGAGGTCTAGTAAAATGAGTCTAGACAATACATATCCACTAAACGGCCAAAATAGTCGGCATTCTTTAGTAAGAGAAAAAAATAAACAAGTTAAAAATTCCAAAATTGAAGGAGAAAGTTTGCCAAAGCAAAAAAAAAAAGGTACCTCCATGACATCTCCCACATTCACCACAAATGCATTTGGCAGAATTTGAATAGGTGTCCATGCTCCATTCATTTTAATTTGGAAGCCATCAATACCATTGATTTGGTGGAGGATGGTGATGCCGGTAGCATCTGAGTGCGGTGTTAGCCCAACAACAAGCTCTGGCTGTGGGCACGGAGGATAGTATGTCATCCTCATAGTTTGAATGCCGTCCTCAAATAATTCTTTCATCTCATTCATCTCGATGTCTAAACATTTTGAAATCAAGCGAAGTAGCTGCATGGCTAGCTTTTGTGTCTCCTTAATGTAAGAGTCTAAGGTGTTTCTGCATGTGAAAGGAAGGTATTAAGTATTATTGTCATAGTCCACAAATTGTGGAAGGTTCTTGTATGTGCTAATATGACATGTGAGCGAACTCACATGTAGCGTTGGATCAGGCGGATCCCATGTGAGGCCCACCTTATCCAATGATGCATGTGAGTTGGGTGCAAATGCTCCAGATGCAATCATGAATTGAGAGGAAGAGATTAGATTTTCTAGGTTATAATTTACATGTAGGAAGCCTATTATTCACTGCCTTTTAGTCCCAAAATCACAAAAAGTTTTGTAGAAGCCCACAAGTGTATCTTCCTAGCTCTATACATATTGTGCTTTTAAGCAAGATCTAATATAGGTACCATAGATTTCAAGGATATCAACTAGCAATTATCTTGACAATGTACACAACCATTACATCTATGTAACACGTGCTTTTTTGCATGTATAAAGACTCAGAAACAACCTGAGTGACAAAGGAAGCTCCGGAAAGAGATGAGGTCTCCTTTTGGCGACGGGGTTGGTTATCATGAAAAACCTGTCACCCCAATCAAGCTTTTCTTCTGATTGCACTACACTGCCATAACCTTCGACCTCTCCTGACCTTATCCCAAATTTCATTTTCTCCGACAAGGGAAGCTTGAAAAATTCTTCAATTTCATGCCTTAGATCCTCCAACAGAGAAGGGCGTATCCCGTGGTTAATCAACTGCATGCACAGATTTCAATTTTAAGATTCTAACCTTCAATAATACAGTCTTGAACTTTTTTAGAAAATTTCCAATATAGTCTTGATTATCACGTCCTCACCCTTTCCCTTTGTGAAAATATATTTGATTTCTTATGTGACAATGTTCAGAAATTACCACGTAGAAAATAGTCTTCATAAGTATATATCATCAATTTATATAATATATGCTATTGGTGAAGGGGGCTATGGCCATGCTACCCTTTCTTATAATTGATCCGTTAAACTAATGCCAAGTGTAAACTAATTTACGAAAAATCATACATAAAATAATGTTACAAGCTTTTGTTACATGTCAAACATGATTCACTTATTCAATATATCGATTTTGAATTTCAGTTGTAGTATAAGTAGCATTAATTTTGATCAGTTATATAAGATATGCTTAACTCAAATATCTACACCTGCTAGTATATTTTCTTATCATAAGTCAAATCAATGTGCTTGTTAGATAACCAACGATGATGAGTTAACATAATGTGACTTACAAATGCGCGAGATTATTATTAAGTCATACGAATTGTTGGTCCATCTATGATGCATTCCGGGACCATAATGGTTAAAATAAATCAAGACGGATTTATTTTCTTCGATTGATATCTTACTAATTAATATACTACAAGACACCTTTGACTGGACTGTTTCAAAGACTCTTGGTAGGATTTGAATTTATATTCATATGGATGACATGATACTAAATATTTATCCACGCCTTACGCAGAATTTTTTAATTTATTACGAAAATAAAGAGAAGAAGATACATAACATAGAACTAAAATAAATGAAAGATAAACTAATTATTTATAGGCGGTCTTTTTGTAAAAGTATATATGTAAGGGGAAGAACCGGTTTGTTTATATGAAAAAAATAAATTATTTATTAGAGGTAGTCTTTCTAGAAATATAAATATGTAAAAGGAAGAACCGGTTTTTTATCATCTAAAAATAAAAATAAATAAATAAACAACGCAATAAAAGGAGCATAAGATTTTATATTCATATGCTAGAATAAAGAAGGACAATAACAACACTTGGCAAAACTTTAAAGAAAGCATAGTAAGATTAGATGAGCCGTAATACTTATATATCCACAAATGCACATCTCCAAATTCTAAACCTCACGCTCACCCAAAACACTCAAAACCAACTAAAACCCAAATGACGCAAATCCTAAGCAAGAGGCTAAAATAAGTTTGCGACGATTTCTCAATGTGGGGTTCTACTTAGAAGCATGTGAATAGTATTTGCAAAAACAGAGACATGTAAGTGATCATTGGGTGTAGTATGTTTTTGATATTGTCCTTGTTTTTTCTTTTGGCTTTTTAGCAAGAAAGGAAAGAAAGAAAATAACAATAAATTGCTTAGCTGAGTCAATTCTCTTGCCATGCTCACATGCTCGTGAAAAAAACAAACTGCACAGTACGATATTGTACCACATACGTACTCAATATCCGACATACAAAAAGTTCACGGGAACCAAGTCAATCTTGCTACCATCTCCAAGAATTGAAACCTGGGTCATATACAAAAAAATGAAGAAAAACTGCGCGATGCATTGAATGCATTTGCATACCATGTAGCTAAGCCTTTGGACATCGTGGGGTTCATTTAGGCTGACCAACCAACGGTGTCGGAGGGTTCACGTTGCAGGGTGGAGTTTCTATTTTAGCCTGGCTTTCAATCGAATACTTTTAACAAAATTTGAGACGACATGGGCTTGAAAGATAGAGAAGAGGGAGTTCGAGAAAACCTGAAAGAGACCCAAGTCTTTACAAGCCTCATGCAATTTCTCCAATTCATGATCACCCACAGTTTGGTCCGAGGACAATTTCCCCAAGTCAATGATCGAAACGATTGGCTTTTGAGTGCTGCCATTGTCGAGGAGGATTTGTGGTTCTTGGTCGCGACGAACATACCTCTCTGGAACGGTCTCCATGGTTTCTTTGATGAGCTCTTGAACGCTCACCATGGAAGAACCAGCATGGAGAGGTGGTACTTGTGATTCCATTTCTTTTATTTGATGCTGAACTCGCTCTTGCATGACGCTACTTATAGTGAGAGAGAGAGAGAGGGGGTAAAAAATCGGTAAATTGTGAGTGGACATTTGTACAAACGGGTCATATTCAAAGATCAAGAACAGCTTGTTACATTACTTAATATACCGCTTTTTAAATCAGTTTTAGTAAAAAATAAGTCAGTTAAATACATGAAAGGTCTTTCTTGATCTTGAATCTTTTGGAATTACGAAGGATGTACCTATCAATTCAACCATTAATATCAGTTCACACAGAAAGGTCTTTCTCGATCCAGGAAAAAGTTGCAAAGTAGCAAGTACGTGGAAAATTCAAGGAAATTGGCTTCTAGAAAAGGTTTCCATTCAGATTCAGAACTTGATAATCAAAGCATCACACATCTCTCTCTCTGTCTCTCTGTCTCTCTCTCTCTCTCTCTCTCATCTTCAACCGAGCCAGATCTGGGCTTGTAGAGTTAGATCTATCTGTCCCATATTCAACCAAGCCACCACATCTGGATCGTTGAGGACAACAGAGCTAGATCTGCTCGTTTGAACTTCATACTATGAAGAGGGCTCAGCTCCACCTAAGTCCTTGCCAGTGTCCACTAGCTCTATACAGACCCCCCATTTTGGACATCAGAATTAGGGTTTCAGTAATTTCAGATACTTGTGTTTCCTTCTAAGATTTTTCTATCCAGGATCATTTTCGTATGCAGGTACATATAATAGCACAAATACCCATCAAGTGTCTAAGCATCAGCGTTAAATATTGCTCTTTTAGAAATTAACAAAGTGGGAAAGAGTCACATGAAGAGGATGGTACTTATGTGATGTTTATCCGACTTTTAATAGTACAGCAAGGGAGATGGATGCTCTAGAATCACACACATAAATATGCTACTATGGCTCGAAGGCGGACAAGTCGTTGTCCAATACCTTTTCATAAAAGAAGTGCTTTTCCTTTTCCTTGGGAGAGAGAAATTGGCCAGCAGGATGTCTCTCCACCACTAGTCTACTGTTATCAAGACCCCTCGTCTAGAAAGAGCACGTGAGTACCTTTGGAGAGTACATACTTGCCTTTTTTTTTTTTTTTTTTGGTGATGTTAAAGTTTCGTTTTGATTTTCCACGAGTAACATGATCTCTAGTTTTTAACGATTGATGATGTCAGAAAAAATTGATTTGACAAGACTAATTTGTAATGATCGATTTTAGTAAAATTGGTTTGTTGGCTACTAGAGTTTCACGTGGTCCTAAAATTGATTGACGAGACTTTGCTGGATCTTAAATGATTTTTCAGGAAATTTTGTGCAAATGAAAAGGAAAATGGGGACCACGAGGCTGAAAATCCTTTCGGTCATAGCACGTAATTGTGACAGTATTGAATGTGAAAGCAAACAATAAAAAAATGATTGAAGTTGTAAAGTGAAATCATGACCCAATTTATGCAAATCATGTACCTTTTAAAACGGTCAAATTAGAAATTTTCGAATCTTAAAAAAATGAGTACAGTCACCTAATATGTGGGCTGGTTTTTCCTAGTTCCATAGCAGAAAAAAAAATTTGTGATATGTTTAGAAAATATTGAGGAAAATGATCATTTTATATATTCTTTTAAAAGAAATGATTTGAATAGAATTGGAACCTACCTCATCCGCTATTGGAATATTAGATTTAAGGCGCCAAGAAAACTCTTATTGTCCATTAGGTAAGCCGGTTACCATGAAACTAGTAGATCGACGTGGGAAAGCGCAAAACTGACATTAGACCTTAGCCTGGGTCCGACCTTGGATGACCAATCAAGGTTTCCTGAGATCAATAATAGATTGAAGGAGTGAATTTGTGACATTCAGGTTGCAATACAAGTCTTGGGCCACTCAACCAAACCCTTGGTCGGTGATTAATCTATATATTTAAGCCGAAAGTGAATTTTCACTCACTTTTAGAAAATTTCCAAATTACCGTTATTAGTCTTAAATAATAAAATAAATACAGACACTTCTAATAACTTCATACTTTCATCCACTTCTTTGAATAACCACCCATTTTCATATTTTATTCCTATATTATCCCCTTTTACATGGTATCACCTTTTATACCATTTGCTTTTAATTTAATTTTATTTCATTTTTATCACACAATCAGGTAGCCAAGCCCGAATTAATCTATGATTAAAATGATTTGCGATCAACTATAATACATAAAATTTCGCTAGAAGTTGAAAGATTTACCTTCCGAAAATAAATAAATATTTCAACTATGTCTCATGTCCACTGGAAATTCATGCACCTTTCTTAAGATGAGAGAAGAATCGTTCCAAAAGAAAAAGGAATTTCACAATCTGATCATTGGACCATGTCATATGTACCTTTAACAACGTGATTCTCACTATGGGACCCATATCGATGATGGTTCATGGTCTTGGTCTATGTTGTCGGTAGACTATGTAACTCTTCGTCAGGGATGGGTTCATGAACCTCTCATTTTCCATATAAATCAAAGCATTGAAGTATAGGATGTCACTTTTGTACAATGATTAATTCAATCCTAAATTATATAATTTGATTACAAAATGTTTTCATGATTTTTCAATGTAGCCCTTTTGACCACATGACAATTTTGGCCGAAAATTACTGACGTTAATGCCAGCCATCATACGTGCCACGGTTAGCGCGTGTGGATAATTTTTGCAACTTTTAAAAAAATTTCTGAATATTTTCTTTTCTTTCCTTTTTCTCTTTTGTTTTTTTATTTCCCTCAGTCGGTCAGCAGCCTCGGTGATCGCCGGCCACAAGCGAGGACTGGGACTCCCTTGCCCGCTCTAGGCGAGGGCGCGCGAGCCCTTGCTGTGGTTGGGAAACCTCAGCTAGCCATCATTGAGGTGCGGACTAGCAGAGGGAAATGAGAAAAAAAATGAAAAATGAAAAAAAATTCAAAAAAGTTAAAAAAGATTTGCAAAACTTGTTCGCGTCAATGGCAGTCGCGATTTTCGGCCAAAATTTGCTGGGAAGACTACACTAGTAAATCATCAAAAGGTTTAGGACTGAATTAATTAAATTGAAAAGATTATGACTAAATTAGTCGCCGTACAATAGGTTTAGGCCGAATTGAACAATTTTTCCATCAATAGTTCGTGATCTTAGTTTATGCTGTCGGTAGACTACGTAACTTTTCGTTTCGGGTGGCCTCATGAACCTCTCATTTTCCATATAAATCAAATCATTGAAGTATACGATGTCCCTTTTTGGTTCTCCGAAATAATTTTAGGAGTAACGACATATAATAACAAGTTTTGGTTAAAAGTACTGTGATGCTCAATTAAATCACTAATCGAGTGCATTTAAAGTACGGGGAATGTTTGACCAAAAAGAAAAGTACAGGGCATGAGAAAATCAAAAGTGTAACGTGCCGCAAATAAATTAATTTCAAAAGTATGTAAGTGAAGTTGGGCCAAACAAGTATTTAAGTTGCCTCCAAGAGGTTGGCTGCGATGGTAAGGGTGTAGGACTTGGGATCCCAGGTCTCAAGTTCGAGTCCCCTCTGCCGCGTAACCTTATCATACTCTTGACTTACATGGAGGCTAGTTTGTGGGGCTAGATTAGCTTTCCTCCAGTTGGTGCCTGGCCGGTCGGACCCTTGTAGTGCGGCCGATGCGGGAGTCCGGATTATCAAAAAAAAAAAAAAAGTATTTAAGTGATAGAAATAATATTCATTTGTCGAGGAAAATAGGGAGATTGTTTGAGTAAAATATTTGTAATCATAGTGTACCCTTAGTACCATATAAAATTTTCTTTTGCTCTATCCTAGTGTAAGTCATACCGATTTAATCACGTGAATATTAATATTCAATTTATTTCTTGTTTTCTTTTCAAAACGTTTCGACTTGCCTAATTTCATAGCCATCTTCCAACAAGAGATAAACCATCATGACTTGGAGGACATAAACCAATAATAATGTAGAGGACACTTCCCATGTTCATCACTCCAACATCTATTTTCATGAAAGCTCCATTTGTTTCACGAAAAATATTTTTCAGAAAAATATTTTTCTCATTTTCCGGCGTTTGGATTCCTTAGCAAAATAAGTCAACATAAAAGTTTTCCTAATCAACGAAAAATCTATGTTCAAATTCAAGAAAGTGATTTTTTTTTTAAAAATCGAAAACCATTTTCCAAAATACGATTAGAAATCGCCGCTTAAACTAGAAACTCTGCGTTGGGACAGAATAACCCTAACGCTTGTTTTCGGGCCCTTGATAGAAGACACAAATCAAGAGGCCAAGAACAGGCCCGAGACCTCGATGCTTGTGCTAAAGTCCTCAACACCGACGCGGGTCCATTGAGGCTTGGCTCGAGACCTCGAGCCGTGCCCTCGTCCTCGATGCCCGGGTCCATTAAGACCAGACCCAAGATCGATGCTCGTGCTCATGCCCAGGACCCATGTGCCCATGCCTGGGTTGGGGTCCATTGAGATCAACCTGGGACCCTAGTGTTCGTACTCAATTCCTGACTGTCCATGCACAAGTCACTAGCCTCGAATAAGATATTATCTATTTAGAAAAATCAAATCTTAATTTCCCTAACCAACAGTTCATTTTCAAGTTCCAGTTAAATATCAAATAATATTGTTATTTTTCTAGAAGATATGTTTCAAAATTATCACATTTTTCATGAAATAAACGGAGGCTTAAGCTGTCTAACGTTAAAAGCGTTAGCTTCCCTTTGCCGGCTAAAGTTCAAACAATGATGACACGAAAACCACGTTATAAACAAACAACGTGGACAAGCATCGAATATGACACACTTGAAATGGATTCAGTCTTAGAATTTGCATTAATGTGTCGATATCGATTAGCGTAACATACACAATGACCCAATCAACGGAGAGGTTGCGCGGTCAAGACTTCCTTTCTTTCATGGTTACGCCTTGAAGAAGGCATTGTCTTATGTGGTGAATTTAAAACATGTGGTTTGACATTGCTCGTCCTCCTTTTCATGGTTACGTCCTGGAAAAAGGC